GCGGGGGGCGCCCAGAGCGGGGGGCGCCCAGAAGTTATAGCTCTGCTACATCCTGGGCGTCCCCCAAGTCAAAGCACCGCGCAGGTCACCGTGTGGTTTTAGTGGGTAGGCCAAGCCGCCGCAACACTAGCGGCGGCACCCCGATCGTCATTAGGGGGGCAGTCCCACATAACCCGGGCCATTTGTAAACTCCCTTCCCAGAGGGGGGCCCGGGTATCCATAAAGGATTTCCACACGAAAAAAAAAAAAAAAAAAAAGGTATGGTGATGGAATTTCTATAATCATTCTTGTCATTAAAAGGTGTAATGGTATCAGAGATGGAACGGTGTCGTAGATTTTTTAATCTCTTGTTAATGTGTTTATTAATGAAGGGAGGAGGATAAGAATTATTTAGGAGGATGTTTCTGACAATGTCTAAGTTTGTATCATGGAAAGATGAGTCAGATAGTAAAATTGCTTGGTCGACTAGATTTATAATTGTATTAATTTTATATCTAATGTGATGGCTGGAAAAGTAATTTATATATCGGCCTGAGAAAGTATCTTTTCGGTACCAATTCGTTGTTAATTTATTATTTATTCTAAGAACTGAGGTATTCAAGAAATTCAAAGATTTATTGTTTTCTAGTTCATATGTGAATTTTAAACGTGGGTGGTAGTTATTAAAAGTATTAAGAACGTCTTGGAGTCTGTCATCAGGAAGAATGGTAAAAATGTCGTCAACGTATCTATAAAAAACCGGGATGTCAAAATCTAAAGACTCAATGCAGTGTGTTTCTAGGTCGTCCATTATAATGTCAGCTAGTATGGGGGATAATGGAGATCCCATAGGTGTACCAAAAATTTGTTCAAAGAATTTATTATTAAAGGAAAAGCAAGTTGATTGAAGTATGAGTTCTATTGCATATACGAATTGAGGTAAACTTAATTTAGTAGATGTTGAAATATCATTCCATCTCTTTTTAATGCCTTTGATTATAAGGTCTTTTGGAACATTTGTATAAAGCGAAGTCACATCCAAGGACACCATTAGTTCATTGTCTTTTATGGGCGAATTTTTAATATTAGAAGCAAAAGTCCAACCATCTTTAATGTGTGATTTTGGTTTAGGTATGGAGTCAAAAAGGATTTTATGTAAGAACCATGAAATGTTATATAATGGGCTACCTATTGTCGAAACTATTATACGTAACGGATAACCAGATTTGTGGATTTTTGGTAAGCCGTAACAACGGGGAAGATTGCCATTTGTGCAATTTAGATATTTATAGGTTGATTCACTAATGATGTCGTTATCAAGCCATGCTTTGATTAGTTCATGAAGTTTATTGGTGATCTTTCGAATGGGATCCCTAGTGATGCTTTTATAGGTGTTGTTATCATTTAAGAGGTCTAACATTTTTTCAGTGTACGAGTCTCTATTCATGACAACAGTCACCTGTCCTTTATCAGCTCTCGTAACAAAGACATCTTCGTTATCTCTCAAAAACCGGTTGCAAGAAGAAAATTGACTGAGCAAAAATTTATCGATCGTATTAACATGATTGTTTTTATTGAGGAACTTATTTAAGTTGTTGCATATAAGTGAACGAGTCTCATCTAAGATATCATCTGGGATTTTGTGAGCGTTAATTTCAAAATTTTTTATTATTTCTAAAGTGAAATTGCTGCGATCTTTTAGGTTTTTATTGTTAATAGGTAGGCCGAACTTATCACCTAGACTTAAGAAATCAAGGACACTTTTTGGAACTTGTTTGTTGCAAATGTTAACGATCCATTTCGACCTGTCTGAGTTGCAAAAGGAATCTAAGATTGAATTCTGTGAGTTAGTTAATCTGTTAAATTTATTAATAAGTTTAGTTTTTATGTTCTTAGTTTGTTTTGCGAACATGGGTCGGTTATATTTAAAGAAATTATTTAATATGTCGGTTGGTAGACCATATTTTAGTTGGAGTTCGGATTTTTGTAAATTGTCTTTTAACATGCGTATTACAAGATTAATGTCCTTAATTTCTAAGTTTAACAGAGTTTTTTGGCAACGATTCTTAAAATTAACGAACCTATGGTAGCTGTGTTTGTTGTGAAGAGTGATGTTTAATTTTTGGTTTCGAATATGCGGAGGTAAGATATTGTGTCTTCTACATCGAAGCAAGAATATTAATTGTTGGGTTGCCGTGCATATCTTGATATTAGTTTTTAACCAAGTCCTCATGAGTGTAGCGTAATCTTGTCCGTAATTTTTGGAGATTGAGTTGAAAAATCCATCCTCTTGAGTAAACACCATTTTTTCAGTCCAGGTGTGTAAAATAAATGTGTGGAATTGTTGAGTCGCCAGCAATCAAAGAAAAATACTCAGAATTCAAACGACATATGCTGGCAAATAATTTTATTTAATAAAAATACGACGTTTCGACCAGTAATACTGGTCCTTTTCAAGTATAATTACGTTACATCCATCAAATGTTACAGCAAGAGATCTAAAAGTTGTTAAAAGACATTGTCAGAAA